TATACTTCCTTGATACCCTGAAGTACGAAAAAAGGTTCGAATGTTACTCACCAGCCGAAGGTAAACAAATCGGTGAAACCGTGCAATTTGAAGTGTGGCCCCAGTACCGATTCATTATACTCGAACCAGGTGGAGTCCTTGATCTAGATGACAGAGAGGACTCCGACGACTGAGACGATGAAGACAAAGACGACACTACTCTCCGATGTCGTTCCCGTACTGGGCTTCGGCTGCGGCGATCTTCAATTTTCCGCAATCTCTTAGTAATGTCTTGAAGTCAATTCATTACATCACCCATATTTCTTGCATTTTCCGCGCTAGATTCGCGTGAAAGGCTGCGGTGCCTTCGCTTAATTGATTTTTTGGGCATGACACCCACAATATGAAAAAATCCCGGCACTAAGGTACGCACTAACCGGGAACGAACTGCTCGATTCTACACACAAACAAAGTATGAGCGTTCGACGGAGTGGCGGAAGAACAGGACTGTATCCAGGGTGAGAAAATTTGCTTTGAACTGTGTGAGATTTGACTGCAAGCAGAGCTACTACACTTATCCTTATTTATGAAGGCGAGGCGCAATATAATGGACATGTGTCGTTTCTGCATACGCTGATTCATTTGGATTATTTGGCTCTGCGATCATACTTTCATACTACTGGTTATCAAAGTTAGATTTTTTTATCTACTCGTATTCACACCCTAGAATAGTTTTTTTATATGTTTCTCTCCATTTTAAGCCACAAGTGATGCCGCCGATAACAAAGAATTCCGAATGCTTTTTTGAAACATGATTACTACTTCGGCACATCACACTCGGCCAGGTCGAGGTGACTTCAATTCCAAACGTTCAACATTGATGAAGGTGGATCTGGCGCCTCGTCTGTATTCTATCGCCAGCTGAGCTGATTACGGTTATAGCATTCTGTTTCAACACTAAACTAGCCTCGAGGATGGAAGTAGTTCTTGTTAAAAAAATGTTTTATGACAAAACGTAGGGCATGTATAACAGTAAATGGTGTTGGTTATATTCACACGTTTAATGGGAATTCACCTTTAACACAACCCTGTCCATTTTTTGGTCTCCAATTTATAAAATCTCATTTTTCGGTATTTGCGAAGACTGATCCTCCACTATTGTAAATGCAGTTAGAAGAAAATAACATGTCCGAATACTGATAATATCATTTAAAAGTTGTCAATAACCAACAAGCTATTTGGACTAATTGGTGTGTAGAGTGATCACACTTCATTCTATCACACTAGGATGTCAGTCAGACATGAGAAAGGGTTTTCATTAAAATTAGATCTTGGTAGGACCGTTATGTGGGTTTCTCGCCATATAAACCATCCAATTCCCATAGCTCAGCAAATATTTATTTGAATGATTTTTTGGTTGTTATGGGTACTATCAAGACTCATTATTATTTTTTCTTTTGTTCCTCAAATACACAGTATGAAATAACATATGGTCGCTTATAGGGTACCTTGGACATGGGAGGTGAATGAATGGTGCAAGTGAGGTACAATTTTTTAAAAATTAAAAAATAAAACCTTTTGTACTTGGTTTTAGGTTTTTAATCAAATTTATTACGTAATGTAAAATGGTTATTCTGTTTTTATTCCAAATTTTATTTAGGATTGAGTGGAGTTCATAATCAAATTTATTACGTAATATAAGATTTTATTTACTATTGAGTGGAGGGGATCTGAGATATTTGAATAAAAATATTACCAAAAACGAATCATAATATGGTTAATACGAAACCTACCTTTCGTTTCTACTGTAAGCAAACATAAAAAACCCACGAAAATCCCTTAACAAAACAACTTAAAACCACGCTCTTCATGTTTTTATGAGCTAAAGGAGGCTATATCAATTTTGTACCTGCAATTCGATATTTCCTGTCATCTCAGTGATAAGAGCGATTGACGTCAACTTAAGGTGGAATTTTTGAAAAATTATTGGTAATTGGTCTTTTCTAGGGGACCTTGGGAAATGGAGGGTTAAGAAAAAGTATATCTAGATGAGATCATATGCTTAATTTGCAATTGTAGATTTATTTTTCAATTTCTATATCGTAGCCACTAGTCTCCACGTAAGGGAGCTGCTATACAGGGTGGCCCATCCATGTGTGGACGGAATATTACTCATAAACAAATACATTTTGGTTAAATCAATTTATGTGATGTTATACATTTCCAAAATATTGGCCATTTTACAGGGTGTCCCAATTTCGAACTACATATCAAAGCTGCGATGTTTCAAATGGAATGCCTCAAATTTTATTGCATATTTGAATAAACCAATTCAAAAGAAGAAAATTGATATATCATACTATGGGGTTTTGGTAATCAGCTGCCGAGATATAAGGTGTTTTGTCTAGAATAACTCGCCATTTCGGCAACCCCTCCGTCCGTCATTTTGAAATTTGGAGCCCTGAATGTTGTATCAAAAACACCTCAGCTTTTATCTTATATGTTACTTTTTCGAATTTTAACTTTTGCTCATACTGGGTGGTCAAAAAAGCAAATTGTAGTTTTTCTCAAAACTTTCAAAAGCATCACCCTATATTTGCGCAAGTTTGGATTCAATTTTTTATAAGCTTTTTTTGATACTAGACACATAAGGGTTTTTATGACTATTTTTTTGGATATAAGCACGTCTTTTATGGAACGGCTTAATTCCCTAAAATATCGCGTCATCCTTGGAAACAAATAAATTGTTGATGAGTTACAAACTGTCAAAATTAGCTTTATGAGCATTATAATAAAAACGTGTTTGAAAATGAATTTTCCTAAAGAAAAAATGGTGAATATGGTGTTCGCTTTGGGCGAAGCCCAAACGAATAGATTCCTAGCATCTCGCATTTATAAGCAACGCTACCCTAATATGCGACATCCAAGGCCGGAAGCATTTTCCACACTGCGAAAACGTTTTGAATCAAGTGGATTATAGTAAAAAAAGGTATAAATAATCCAAGTGCCACCAATTTGGCGAATCAGTTAGAGGTTCTATTAAAGTTGCAGGGAAATCCCCATTTAAGTGCACGGCAAATTGGTGCAGAAACTGATATATGCAGAACTTCTGTTCAAAGGATTATTCACAAGCATAGGTGCTATCCATATCACCCATGCTTGCATCAGGGCCTTTGGATTTGGCAGCTCGAATGGAGCTTAGTAGAATAATGCTAAATAAAGTGAGTGGAGACACTACCTCCCTGGATAAGGTTCTTTTTAGCTATAAGGCAACTTTTAACAGCCTAGGTGTTGTCAACAGGCATGACATGCACTAGCAACGGAAAATCCTTACTGGGTTAGACAAATATATTTCCAAAATAAATGGAGCTTGAATGTTTGGGGAGCAGTTATTGGCAGACAAGTTATCGGACCTTTCTTTTTCGACAACATATTGACAGGTATAGAATACTTGAATTTTTTGGTCGAGCATTTGCCTTTACTTTTGGAGGATGTCAACCTACAAAATCGGATGCATATGTACTTCCATCATGACGGCGCACCTGCGCATTATCATAATCGTGTGCGTAACTATTTGGATACCTGGAGTAACAATCGTTGGATAAGTCTTGGCCTCCTAGATCACCAGATATGACACCGATGGACTTCTTTCTATGTTGCTAAGTTAAGCAAGAGGTTTATAGATATCCACCATCTACCCCGGAAAATATGGAGGAAAGGATTAAGGATGTTTTCTGAACATAAGGGAACACATGCTGAGTGATGTGCAACGGTCATTTATCCAATGACTACGGCTGTGTATTCAACATGGTGGAGATATTTACGAGCAGTTTGTGTAAATTAGGTCTTGAGTAGTGATAGTTGTTTGTTTTGTGTTGCTGTTATAGGTGTTTTTCTCTGATACACTTGAAGCTGATTTATACTATTCTGTTATTAGTTTCTACATCAAATCTGTACTCTTAGTGGCAATATGGAACTAGGCCACTGTTTGTCTTTTGTTCCCATGGATGATGTGATTTTTTTCCTTAATTTTGGTGTGTTGTTCTATTAAAAGCTTAATAACTCAAAATCTAGTGATTTTATCTGAATCAAACCTTATACAAAAAAAAGCTTATATGGAATTGAATCCAAACTTGCACACATATACAGGGTGATGCATTTGAATTTTTTGAGAAAAAGTACAATTTGCGTTTTTGACCACCCTGTATGAGCGAAAATGAAAATTTGAAAAAGTAACGAATAAAATAAAAGCTGAGGTATTTAAGTTTTTTTTTGATACAAAATTCAGCTCTCCAAATTTCAAAATGGCGGATTGAGGGGTTGCCGAAGTGGATGGTTGTCCTGGACAAAACACCTTACACCTCAGTAGCTAATTACCAAAACCCCATAGTATGCTATATCAATTTTCTTCTTTTGAATTGATTTACCCAAATATGTAATAAAATTTGAGGCATTCTATTTAAAAAATCAAAACTTTGATATGCAGGTCTAAATTGAGATACCCTGCATAATTGCCAATATTTTAGAAATGTGCTTTCAAATGTCATGTATAATATGCCATAAATAGATTTTCCGAAAATGTATTTGTTTATGAGTAATATTCCGTTCGCACATGGATGGTCCACCCTGTATATTTTAAAAGCTTAGTTTGGCTACGGATGCTGGAGACGTGGCGTCCCGTTAAAGAAGAGCTTTCACAATGCCAAAAAGCTGTTGCAATCCACTTTTGTATTGGATCTTGACTGAATGCTCGCATATGCATACATTTCGTGAGTACCATTGTTTAATGTATTCTACCTGACATCAAACCTAATACTAAACTCATATACGATATATAGTAAACAAAGAAACAGTTGTGACAAATTCTCATAGATGAGGCTACGGTGCCTCATTTTATTACGGACACTTTTTTGACGTTGGAATATAGCATTAAGCTGGCTTTTTCCAGGTAGAATACGTCAATCAATGGTAGTATTAAGAATAAGTACTATAGAGGCTCTCAAACAGTTATTTTATTTCAGGTTGCGCTAATTTCACTTTTGATACTGACGAGTATTGGGAATGTGCAATCAGAGAGCTCACAGGTAGTTTGTGGCATCAACAATCCACTTGCAAGATGGGCCCAAAAGAGGACAAGACAGCTGTCGTCGATGCCAAACTGAGGGTACATGGTTTAAAAGGATTAAGAGTAATAGATACGGGTGTTATTCCTAGGTCTATTTCTGCACATTTGACCGGTCCAGCATATATGATTGGAGAAAAAGGGGCAGATATAATCAAACAGGATTGGGGAGAGCTACGATCATCAGATCAGAGTTAGAGTCAGAATCATGGAAATGTATAAGCATAACAAAACAATAATAACAGTTGAAATAGCAAGTGAAAAAGCCATATTAATACAATACAAGCTTCCTTTCATGTCAAGCTGATTTCATTATATAAGCTATCAGGTCGTCCTAGAGATGTCATGTATCGTAAATATCACGGATAGAAAATGAGTAGCATCATTTTCATGTGGCTAGTTAAGTAACAGCACACATTTTCCAGGAGTTGTGCACGGTAATACACAACAGTATTAACAAATCCTCTTGCTTTCACTTCCTACGCTAGTGGTGGGGAAGTATTGTAATCGCGAAAAATTTCGAAAATGAGGTATTATATTTTTTGGAGGTTATACTACTTATGACATACACAACACGAAAATTGTGATTAATGGGTAAAGTTCCTACGGACCGCCCAGACAAACAAATGACGAATAGTTACTTACATCTCGAAAAACCATCACACATTTCCGTCGGTCTATCCGTCTGTTGGACTGTCCGCTAATTCTTAGCCCGTCTATAACACGGGAAGTTGATGAAATTCTCACACAAGGTTTACTAACATGCCGTAGTTTTTGAAAATCAATCCAGTATCGGCAGAGCTAAGGACACAAAACGAAAAAAGTTAAAATTGCTTAAATTTCGTCTTTTCACTTTTCAGATGCTCCTGATTCTTTTCGGAAAAAATGAGAGTTTAAAATAGCATATAAATATATATATATATATGTTACATTCACATATCTGCTATACTTGAAGAGCTAGTTGCTGACTAAAAGCTGGTTTATACAACGTTTGCGTCATCACAATCATAAGAGTTCAATCTTATAGACTTCAAGGTCAACCTATGATTATGACAAGCGGTATAAGCGCATTGATAAGGGACACGCATTTCAATTCTTATTTTTGTACAAACCCGCCCCTGTCCTTCGTTGGTTTCAAATGCCGAACTCCGAAATCCCGAGCACTTGAAAGCATCTCTAAATAGTTTTTTCACATCGTAAGCAGATGGTGGAGATGTTCGACAACGTAACAGACGTTCACTTTAGGTCGAAAAGCCGACTAATGTCAAGGCTTCTTTTAATAATCAAACTTTTTGTACTACCAACGTTGACGAACACTGTTACTATGGTTACCTCTATTAAAGAGATGGTATCTTCGGTTGTTACATTTTGTATCTGAGTAAATTTACCTTAGTACGAGAGTAAAGTTCAACGCTTTAGGCGAACAATCTGACATGTCTGAATGTATAAAGGACTGTTTTGCTTTCCTAGAAGGTGAGTAACATTCAAACTCTTGAATCGCATGACTTTTGAGCAGTAATGGCGCCGAACATGCAGCTGGTCTTCTATTCGACATTGTTCATCAGAGCGGTCCATGGGATCTTAGCTCTTGGTTAAAGTACCGTAGTTTAGTGAGTCTGTCAGGTCTGGATGCACAGATACCATTCAAAGTCAAGAAGAAATGAGGGAAGAAGAAAGGCAGGAAGGGGGAGGAGCAAAGAGGAAGAAGTGCATCTGTTGAAGGGGTGCTTTGACACTGTTAACTAGTTTTCAGTAGCTTTAAATTTGTAATTTTGATTCGTCCTAGATTTGCACGATTTAATTTTGTTCACAGTGCGAGCCGCGGCCTTGTTTGCTTGCAAAGTTCCTCGACTGTCGATTCCGTTTGACTATAACGTAACTGCGCCTGTTGTTTAATTTAGTCCCTTAGCTGAGAAATGTTGAGGTCTCTGTGAAGAGTTTCGTGGGAGACATATCACATGGGGCGTTAGTCACAGCGTGCAAGAACCTGCAGACTACAAATATGAGTTTAGGCGAGGAAACACCCTGATGAACTTGAATAAGTAATTGATGGTCTGATAACCAACTTGTACAGCCGAACTTTGTTGATCGAACTTTTGGATTCTACAAAGCATAGGGTAGAGTTGCCGAAAGGTAATTTGGAATTTGGTTTTTAACGCTTCAGTGTGTTTGTCCGACGTCATCCCCTTGTCAAGAGTGGCACTAACATACTTGACAGAAGTTTCACATGGTACACGAGCTCCATTCACTGAAACCTCAGAAGGGGCGCGGCTACGTTTTGTAGCACAGACAGCCTGCGTTTTCGAGTAATTAATTTTGATCTTCCCACTCCAATACCATATCCAACGCACTATGTAACCTGACGTGAACCAGATTCCGTGAAAAGGAAATACAGGATTGGTCCCAGAACCGAAGCCTGAGGGACACCGGCTCTGATGGACCGCTCTGTCGAGAAAACATTATTAATTTTAATAAAAAATTTTCTACCTTCGGATGTGCGGTAACTCTAAAAGGTGCGTGGCAAAAACGTAATCGTAGTTAGCTCGGGGTATTCCACTACGAAGTGACCTCTCATTTTTGGTGCAAATGTAGCTTTTATTTGTTTCGAAATATATAAGGTTTGTCATACTTGTTTTCAGTACCTGAATCAATAAGTTCAATTTGTCATTTAACCGTTCGTATACTTTGTACCAGATTGTATTGTGTGAGTTCAGACATATATGTATAAACTAAAGGTACACGAAAGGAACCCATACAAAACATATAGAAAATAGGTTCCAATCAATTTGTCTAAACATTGAGCATATACATTTCGCTCTTTCCTGCATAAAAGCATGAGAACTTCTGGGAATGAAGTAATCCTATGATTAGTTTCTGAGAAATGGAGGAAGGTTTTCAGGGTTTGCAAAAATGGTGAATGCGGAGATTGCAGTTCTCCGACCAAATAGTCTGAAAAATGATACTGGAGGAAGTGTTTCATTTAAAACCTTTTAGGAAGGTGTTCGGACTTGTCATTGATCTTGGCCACAATCCTTATAAGGTCAAAATTTAACGGGAAGCTAATTTTCATATGATGACATTGAAATGGATATGGCACGAGTTTCAAAAAAATGTATTCAAGAGGGCACTGCAAAGTTGTAGTTGTGTAGTTATTTTTGATCATGGCCTCCACAAGATTAATTCAAGGTCATTCTGGAAACAAAACAGAAAGGAAAAGCACCATAATGTGAGCGTACGATTAGTGTACTGTAATTTATTTTCTATCGATTTGGGCTTTTTTGTTGTGATATGCTTCCGGCATACCGAACAGATTGAGTCAACTTTTTCGAAGGACAATCATCTGGAGCGCTAAAGCAGTATTAGCACCTCACATACATAGATAATAAGATAAGGATGATATCTATTAATGAGAGCACCAGTTATTTTATAAAGGTCTCCTAGATTCGCTACATGATGCATTTGAATGGTTTTCTCGAAGAATTTTAAAACTGATTTTATATGCACATGCAAATCGGCAAACTTCATCCCCTTAATATTCAGAAACTAATCATAGGATCGCTTTGGATCCATGATAACTTTTGTTCAGGAAGATGAGAAATATACCATACTTAATTCTTAGACAAATAGACTGGGACCCATTTTACATAATATGTTTTGTGCGGGGTCATTTAGTTTTTGAGTACAGTAATTGAAACAAGCTTAAGAAACCATGTAAGCATATGTTTGGAATCAGAAAGATATACGTAAAATGTAAGACTATAACTATAACACATGAGGTTTGATTTAGCGGCTAGACAATGAAGTTCCGTATATCTTTTGTGTGAAACTTTTTTTCTCTACGTATAGAAGATAGCATCAGCTTACTTGACGCTATTCTAGCATCAAATTCTATGTAGTATCAAGTTTCACCAGACCTGCTGGTGACATTCTGATACTTATAGAATTCTTTATCACCTCGCTAAACGAGCCACTATGCGGACATCCATAAATATGCATGCTGTCAACCAAATTGGACGCCACCAGTTTCAGTGTTGCACTGTCGGCTCCGGTGGTAATATGGAAATTAACCACTTAATTCGATCAAGGTTGACGAAAAGCTACAGTCGCGTACTATGTGAAATACAGGGTACACTACTGGAAGTATTAGAGAATCAAGAGAAAACTATGGCCTGTTTCATTAAAAAATACAAATTATTTAATTAGAAAACAGTTCAGGCGTCACCTGCAATTATCTGCATCTAAAATGTTTCTGGTTCTACAATTAGCTTGGCGATCTTTCAGATCAAGCTCCATTTCAACAACTTAGTTTTTTTTACTTTCATCAAATTCCTCTGGTTTGCCATACCGTGCATTTTTGGGCGTCTTTTAAGCGTCAAGTATGTAAGAGTTCTTCAACGGAGTGCATGAGCAACCGATCTAATGCAGTGAAGAAACCAGCTCTGTCCAGAAATACAATACTGCTCTGCAAATTAAGGTTGTTTTAAAGAAAAGGCCCTAGTTTTGGTCTTCTCGTAGAGAAGGTACAGGTAAATAATGAGAGAGGCAATCATCAGGTTATACTGAGAGTATATCGGTTTCAAGCCTGGAATAAGTATCTACAATTAGCAGGAGATGACAGTACTCAGGACCAGTTCTGTAAGTTTATAACATATCTTGACAAACGTTGAAAGGATAAAGCTGCTTACCTATTGGTGGGAACTTCCGATCGCCATTATAGATTAAATTGACAGCTTCTTGAGCTACCGTTTGTTTTCAATGAAGGTTGGTGACAATTCTAGCATATCTTTGGCGATATTGGGCGGCATGGGTTGGGTACGGTTAACTCGTTTTTGTTTCTCTTGTACCTTCCTCTCAAATATCAGCTTAAGGATGTCATACTTTTTTCTTATGGAATACGTATCCCAAAATAACTGCTTTTCTACGATAAGTGGCTTTCGTTCAAGTTCCATATGCCTTATCACACCTTTGTTGGTGATCTGTTCAGTCCAGGATAGTTTTAGTACTAAGACTACGCAAAGCGGAATCTCTCACACTAGAATCGACAACTGCGGAAAATGCAAAGTTGCTAGTAGTTAGAACTGTTGGGGATTTCAGCCCGCGTTTAATAGCCTAGTCACCACGGACCGCTAGATCTCTTTTATATATCTACTAACAGGAGGATGAAATCTAGTTCTACTCTCTAGACAGATGAAGCCTCATACTCAGCACACTTGAGTTTGATAGTGAAGTGGACTATCGAGTCTATGTGGATGTGAGCCATGTAGGACTTGTAGATTCTAGGATGTCAGCAAGAGTGTCCTAAACTGCTTCTTAACTACTCTACTATCATGACTATATATCTATTTGAGTCCAAATAGTGCCTGACATTTCCTCAGTTTTCTCAGACTGCAATTCGATTTGCACAATTTATGTATTTTCCAAAAGAATATCGGCTTCGATTTAATACTGGATGAGGTATCTGACATCTGAATGAATAAATCTTGGCGGCTAGAAAACTGTACGTAGAGTGTAGCTTCGTCCCGTTTCTATCGACACATTATTCATGAATGAACCCCTAGGGGATACACTGTCAGTAGATTCGACCGACGGTGCATTCAACCGCATACGTGAGGCTATTCCCTATTCTAAACAGGAGTGGAGCTTGAGACGGAAAGCGGTTTGCTGATATTGAATGTAGGAAGCGATAAAATATTTCCGTAGCTCAACTAAGGACGCTGGAAAACTGAAAACAGTATCACATTCATGACCAGCAACAAATTTAACCGAAGTGATGGACCCATTGGTACAGAGAACGACTGAAGTGGGTCTCGAAGTATCTTTATTTATGAATCCAGATTCTGTTTGTGGATGCATAATCCCCGTGCAAGGGTAAGAAGGCAACAAGATGGAAAATGAAATTCCCAGTGTTCCATGAAAACGTATGAGCACTACACCGTTGGAATTATAGTATCGAGAACCACATGTTTTGCCTTACGTACGGAGGCTCAGGAATCCACCTTTCCAACAAGATATGTGCGACCACATATTGCCAGAATTACGATGCTCCATTTTGGGGACAATGAAATCGACTTATTGCCTTGGCTTCTAGATCTCTCGCTCTTTCACCCATTGAACCCATCCGGGACATTATTGAAAGGATATTATGCTCCACATACTCCAGTGACACTCAGTCACGAGGTACAAGAAGCCTGGGATGTGTACTTCAAGAGGAAATCGATCATCCAATAAAGAGTTTGCCTAGATGCGTTTTTGAGTGCATAAGGTCCAAAAAATTGTTGTTTTACATTTTTTCAAAAATTGTACTGACATTTTGATCAATTACTTACTCAACCCCAACAGATATGTGTATAAAGAGTTGTTGTGATGAATTCATTATTACTGGCTGCTCGTTTACTTCCAACGCCTACTAGCGAGGAAGTATCCTATCTCCGTCGGTCTGTCCGTCTGTCTTGTAATCTTTGGACTGCCTATGGGAGCTTTCGTAGCTCAGTGGTCAGAGCGTCCAGCTGACAACCCGAGGTTCGCGGGTTCGAATCTCAGCCTCAGAAGTTAATTTCTTGCCGTGGATGTTGCGTTGTCCATATCACGCACGTGATGCAATATTAACAGATACTTCTTATCGCTGGAGCTGGTTTATTATATCAGTTACCAGTATGTGGCTCGTCGAGTAGTAGAGCGTTGGTACTAGGGAGTCGGTAAAAAAGGTGGCCTAGTTGCCAGGCTTCGCCTCCTCACCACTACTACAACTACTTGGACCGCCTAAGAAATTTTCACACAAGGTTACTGGTATGCCAAGAATGAAAAAGCTTTAAAGTTTTCGGAAATAGGTCCCGTGGCGGCGGAGCTATGGTTAAAGCCACAAGGAAAATCAAAATCGCTCAAACCTCGTTTTTGACGGGTCAGAGGCTCTTAACCATTTTAAGAAATATTATTGTAGTGGTTTGGCTCAATAACGCTCGTCAAATACTACTCGAAATACTCGAACAGCCGAGTTGAAAGGACTAATGACCAATAATTGAATATCAAGAATGCCTTTTTTCTATGACAAAGAAGATAACTTGTCAAAGATAATTATTACTTCTTTAGTTTCTTTTTTTATGGATGATTTCTGAATGAATCGCTGGTTACAACATTCGAGGTAATAGAGAATAGGGTTATCACACCGTGGAACGTGGAAACTTACCTAGAGCGTTTAATGCACTTCGTCAAGGGTCATCGTCGGTAGGTAATTAAACCGAATGTGGGCGGTAATCTCCTTTACAGCGATTTATATTTTTTATCATTTTGAACTTAGTAGAGTGAGAAATTCAATAAAACTTATTTACATCATTACAAAAAACGAAAAATCCTTCATACCGTAGCGCGCAGCAAGATTAAAGAGTCAGAATAAACACGATGTATTTGTACCTTCATTGCTCGATCCAAAGATTTACATTTCTTTACAAGGCATTCTGAATAAACATCACACTTCACAAATCTTTTCCTCTGATAAAACAGGACGACCTTGTCTCTTTATTGAATTATTTCACCTTCCACCTCCCACGTATTTTCGGTTTCTACTCGTTTTCTGTCCCCATTTACCAATACTCTGCTACTTTTTTCGGGCAGCTATCTAAAATTGAAATGCTCCCCTTTGAACGATTCAATTCCATTTCATTTCATTTTGAGGCCTGCTCTTTAGTAAACAAAAAGCAGACCAGCTCCTCATTTATCACTTCTTACACAAGAAAATGAAGCTGACTATGGTGATTTACATTCGCTTAGATACAAAAAATCATGAACTCGACGCAAAATTAAATGCTTCTTTTGTAACAAACGGCATATAGATTTTCTTCTGCCCAAAAATGATTATTGTGGAAATTCTGAACGGCATTTCTATAAAAATTAGCTTCGTCCGTGAACAAAATCATTGATTCAAATTGCGGATTTTGTGTGATTTTTTGAAGATACCACTGACAAAAGGTCACACGCCTTGGAAAATCAATGGGAAGTAATACCTGTACTCTTAAAATATGGTAAGGATATAACAACAAATCCACTAAAATTCTCCAGACAATTTGATGACAAATATTTCAGTGTCTAGCGATCTTCCTCGTACTCGTTTCAGGATGTTCTTCGACTTCGTGCAGCACTGCTTCATCAATTTCAGGTGTTCTCACACTTATAGGTATACCTTCAGATGTTCCTTTTCAGACAGAAACAGTTTCAACAAGACGACGATGAATATTAGAAAAGGTTTGACTATCTGGCAAAGCACGATCGGGATATCTCTGGTGATAAATCCGTCTGGCTTGCTCCCCGTTACCGTCGGCAAGGCCATATATGCAATGCATTTCCGCCATTCCTGCATTTGAATAATTCACCACTATTAACAAGATTGTAAAAACTAAATAATGAAAAAGATGTCATAGCGGACAGATTTGAATAACATAGACTTGTCAGATGTCAAAAGCCTGTGACATATTCCAGAGCAACTAGATATTTATTGCTATAAAATTGCATTATTTAATTATTACATTAATTTTCTCGGACAAAAGATCGGTCTTTATTTTTCTCAAAAATGGCGCATCGAAGAAAAAAAATTCAATAGAGATCATTTATTTTAAATTGAACGGGGAATTCAAACATAATTTTTATTTGGCAAAAAACCATTGGCGTACCATTTTTTTCTTGAAAAATATCGAAGTCAATACCCGTTAAAGCTAAAAATTATTTTTGCTTTGAAAAATATGCAACTTTATTAACTTTCACTACGTACTAAATATCAGTGAAATATCTAAAGCGGTTCTGAAAATATTAATTTCCATTTTTTTCCTAAAGCTTCAGCACCCCGAGTTTTTGTAAGGAAACATTGTTGGACCATAGTTTATAAAGCAAACTAACATTAATTTTTCATGTAGTCACACCCTTAAATATTCGCATATCATTTAGGAACACCCTGTATACAGTATGTTACAATGAGTATTTCACAGCTAGTGCAACATAGGAGGTGTAAATGGCAGGACCGGCTCATTGTTACCTGGTGAGAATATCTCAATCAATGGTCATTCTGAATGAACCATTTTACGAGTATAATAAGCAGATAAACCTGACGGTAAAGGGTTAAGGCCTTTCGTACACAACATTGCCTTACGACGTTGGCAGCCTTTGTATTACAATAAGATCTTGTGGGGCAGCGCCCATACACATGTGTCACAGCATGCACGAAGCTCCATAAGAGTAAATTGCAACAGTTGTTAGGTAATCTCAAGACACTAGATATTGGAGGCTTGGGTAACGTTATCTAACAGAAGTTCCAAAAATTTTACGTTTAGGACTGAAAGCTTCGTTATTTTGAAAGATATTAGAACAGGTTGTTGATGATAGGCAGGGGAAATCTGGGACACATGACCAGTTTCCCACCTAAGAGCGCATAGACTCTTATGGAATGAGTGGAGTGTCATGATTCAAATTATATGCTAGAGCCCATTTAGTGAACTCTAATTTTTTGAGGACTTATGTAGATGTCGTACATATTATCCAAGTGTAGGGAGATTTCACCCTGACTGATAATCAGAAATCGATATGATGAAATTTAGATCATTTGAAAAACTACAGCTATCTAAGATATACAGGGTGGCGCATCGAAAACAAAACAGACGCATTTACTGGCAGCTCAGTTTTTTTTTTGAAAATACGCTCAGACCCGTCGATTTGGTTTTCGAGGGGGACACAAGTTTAGCAAAAAATCACGTTAGCACGTGCAGTCCCCTAAGCGGAGGTGACACCACCCCCAAAATCTTGAATGGAAAGGGGGGTCGAGTGATACCTTATTTTAAAGGACTTTCAATTCCCTTTATAATGATATAAAATGAATGTACTTGAGTTCGGTATTTTTGAAGATTTATTGATTTAAAGCTTAAATGAAACTAATACATCATCATTAGTGGCAGCAAAGTAATTTAAAAATGAAGAATGAACTGACCCGTTAGGCAAGTAAATGTTGAAAATGGCCACCATGACTCTAACTGCAATAATAAAGATTTTGGTCAAAACGTTGTCGCACATTTTGCAATATTTGAGGAGTAATTTGAAGGCACTCATTCACACTTCTTTGTCGCAGGTCTTCTAATGATGTTGGCTGAGTAGCATAGATTTTGCTTTTTAAATGACCCCACATAAAGAAATCCAAAGGTGATAAATCTGGCGATCTTGGGAGCCATTCAATGGCACCTCTTCTACCAATCCATCGATCTGGAAACGTCTGATCTAAATATTGTCGAACGCGTAATGCGTAATGTGGTGGGGCACCATTCTGTTGGAACATCAACCTGATTTTCAATTATGGCTGTTAATGCAGGATCTATGGCGTCTTCCAGTAATTCCAAATACATTTCACGGGTCAAATTTCCAGGTGAAAAAAAGGAGCAACTAAATGATCGCCAAAAATACCAGCCCAAACATTTATTTTTTGTGGCTGCTGTGTATGAACCTCATGATAAATTCTGGGATTAGAATTGGACCAATATCGGCAGTTATGACTACTACTACTAAGCCATTTAAGAAAACGGAACATTCATCGGAAAAGCAAGTGTTGAATAGAAAATGTTCATCGTTTTCAATTCGTTCACTCATATCTTCACAAAATTGTAATCGCAGATCAAAATCGTCTTCATTAAGTTCTTGTACCATGTGAATTTTATGCGGATAAAAACTATGGGCCTTTAGAATCCCTTGGACAGTGCGTCAACTAACACCACACACAGTCTCCAGGATCTACATAAACTTGCCCTAAAACCCCCAGTTCTATTGCTTCGTATGGGATTTTCAATGTTGCGTTTTTTATTGGCAACTGACCCAGTTTCCCGAAATTTAGCTACAAGTTAAACTACTGAACTGAAGTACATTAATTTTATATCATTATAAAGGGAATTGAAAGACCTTTAAAATAAGGTATCACTCGACCCTCCTTTCCATTTAAGATTTTAGGGTTGGTGTCACCCCCGCCCAGCAAATGCTTTTCTTCACTACGCCGATGGTTTTTTTATCATTTTGTGGTTGAAAATAGCTATTGGAGCCTTTTTTGTGGCAAAAAAGTTACTTCTTGAAGAAAGATAAGGAAATATCTCGTAATTATTTTAAATAGGTATTTAGTATATAGTTGCGATTGGTTTGACCAAACTTTGTTGCTAAAATAACTTGTAACGCTTTATTACATAAATTAACCATGGTATATTTTACAGCAGAAATATTTAATGAGTGACATGAGAACAGTAACGTGCATCGAAAATATGTTCTAGAACTTGTAGCTAAATTTCTGGAAACTGGGTCAGTCGCCAATAAAAAACGCAACATTGAAAATCCCATAAGGAACGAAGGAATAGAAGTGGGGGTTTTAGGGCAAGTTTATGTAGATCCTACGTAAAGTACCCGCAAATTGGAGACTGTGTGTGGTGTTAGTTGACGTAATGTCCAAGGGATTCTAAACAGCCATAGTTTTTCTCTGCATAAAATTGACCTGGTACAAGAACTTAATGAAGACGATTTTGATCGGTGATTACAATTTTGTGAAGATATGAGTGAACGAATTATAAACGATGAACATTTTCTATTCAACACTTGCTTTTCCGATGAATGTTCCTTTTTCTTAAGTGGCGTAGTAAATCGTCATAACTGCCGATGTTGGTCCGATTCTAGTCCCAGAATTTATCATGAGGTTCATACACAGCAGCCACAAAAATTAAATGTTTGGGCTGGTATTTTTGGCGATCATTTAGTTGGTCCTTTTTTTTACCTGGAAATTTAACCGGTGAAATGTATTTGGAATTACCGGAAGACGCCATAGATCCTGCATTAACAGCCATAATTGAAAATCAGAATGATCGGCGGTACATTGCCAATAGGTTGATGTTCCAACAGGATGGTGCCCCACCACATTACGCATAACTTGTTCGACAGTATGTAGATCAGACGTTTCCAGGTCGATGGATTGGTAGAAAGGGTGCCATTGAGTGACTCACAAGATCGCCAGATTTATCATCTTTGGATTTCTTTATGTGGGGTCATTTAAAAAGCAAAATCTATGCTTCTCAGCCAACATCATTAGAAGACCTGCGACAGAGAATTGTGAAAGAGTGCCATCAAATTACTCCTCAAATATTGAAAAATGTGCGGCAACGTATTGACCAAAATCTTTATTATTGCATGGAGAGTCATGGTGGCCATTTTCAACATTTACTTGCCTAACGGGTCACTTCATTCTTCATTTTTAAATTACTTTGCTGCCAAATGCATTAATCTCCATTAATGATGATGTATTAGTTTTATTTAAGCTTTAAATCAATAAATCTTCAAAAATACTGAACTGAAGTACATTAATTTTATATCATTATAAAGGGAATTGAAAGTCCTTTAAAATAAGGTATCACTCTACCCCCCTTTCCATTTAAGATTTTGGGGGTGGTGTCAGCTCCGCTTAGGGGGCTGCACGTGCTAACGTGATTTTTTGCCAAAATTTTGTCCCCCTCGAAAACAAAATCGACGGGTGTGAGCGTTTTTAAAAAAAAAATGAGATGCCAGTAAATGCGTCTGTTTCGTTTTCGATGCGCCACCCTGTATAAGTAAAAATCAGCTTTCTTCAGTATTTTGTCTCGAAATCAAAATAGCTTTCATTGATAAAAATCAGAATATATTTATAAGTGATCAGACAACTATCTTAACCGTAAAACGCAAACAATACTTATTTGAGTTGAAATACTGTAACATTTTCTAAATGATCAAAAGCATTGAAATTTCATGAACAGCGATCCGAGGATAAATTCACTCAATCAGCGTTTGGGCTTCCATAGAACTTTTTAGGGATCGGCTGCGGTGTGAAATGATAGGAGCTGTATTGAAACAAAACAGTTTTTCCTACAACGGCTCATTTGGGTGAATACATTTTTTAGTCAGAGAATCAAATTTTCTGATCATATAATTCAAACGATTTTTATCAATCCAAGTATCAGCGATATTTCATTAATGCTGGTGCGTCTCTTTTTGTTTACTTGCCACCTTTATACAGTGTCATTCCGTCCGGCTCAGCTATAATTGCTGGGCAGCATTAACTCCATCGGTACGCAGCTTTACGAGCCGTTAAATTTACTGTACTATGAACAAGGCTATTGGGAAGCCTATATGCTATCACATAAACCTGACGAAGCGGAAGTGGAACTTGGCATGTGACATGATTTCGTGAAAAATAAATCCGATCGAACGGGGTCACATCGAATGCTGCAAATGCTACACTTTTGTGAGAAATACGAATATTCGGTAGCTGCTCTTTAAACGATGCATATCCTTGCTTGTCATTGATGTCCCTTGAACGATTAAGGTTGTTCCTTTGAAGATACCACACGTCAGATTCACTCGGGAAAATGACTTTCAGCCGAATTGAGGACGTCTGAACTCGCGACAACATCAGACAACAAGCACTCAGTCGAGCAAGTTTGCAAGCACACAAGACCGAAGCTCCCACTGTGAACAAAACTAAAATACGGTAACCAAAAAGCAAATGTCCCACGCTCCGCTCTGGGCTGCGTTCGTAAATTGTTACGTTGTACCACCCTGTAACAATTTTAGCGTTCGTAATTGTTTGACGTACGTGCTCCATGCATTCGGAAATAGAAAAAAGTCATCTTTCTGGAACGTCAAAAGTGCGCTTTTCTTCCCGTACTCCAAGCCTTGAGAATAATGGGTGTTGTCACTTTTCATTCTGACGGTTTATTATTCGCTTGCTTTTTTGCTATCAAAAAGTGCTTAAAATTGTCACAATATAAAGGGTTGAACAATTTTTAAATTGATGGTTAAAATTAAAACGCAGAGTCCTTATTTCAAACGGGTTTTTTTATTTGAGAGCACTATTCTTTCGGTTAATGGTGGAATACAATCTCATTCATATGCAGCCACGGCTGAGCTTGACGAAGCCGATTCTGTCGACCCAATTTTTCAGTACATTTTCCAAAGTCTGCTTCATTATCTCACCAATGGCTGCACGAATGTTGGTGGTCAAGTGCTCAATCGTCGCTGGGGCATCCGCATAGCATTTACCTTTCACACTTCTCCACAAAAAATAATCCAACAGAGTTAAATCGTGGCTTCGCGGTGGCCAAGTCACATCACCAAAACGACTGACTATGCGATTTTGGAACTGTTCGGGAAGATGAGCGTTTGTTCGCGGCTTGTGTGGCACGTCGCGCCATCTTGCTGGAATCAAACACCATCGAACACTATTAGCCGAACACGGGTTTATCGTTTTCGGTTCACTAGCAACCCAGTCTCAGGCACTTTTTTCACAAACTTCGCGAAACCAGGTGGAGACGGCACATTTTGTGGGCCGTACTTTGTTCGCCAACAGACTCATCACATTGGAAGTAAATTTTGAGCGCTTCCCAACGTTGTTCAAGCCTACATCGATTCATATTCATTCACCACAGACTCTCTACTAATTTCCTGACAAAACAGAACTGATGTAAGTATTGCCAATCATGAGATAATCCCTAGTTCAAAAATCAACCAATGATAACTCATGATAAATGAGCTACCACATATCCATAGGGTTTCCTATAAGAAATACAATTGTTGTCGAAAACGTGGTTAGAAATTAGTTGGTTTTGGCTGTCATCAAGTGATATTACATGACTCTGTAATTTAGGCGTTCCGAAAATATAGTTTCACAGTATTCCGGAGTAAAATTTCATTTGTATCTACATTTCATTACTGGGTACGGTATAAGATCACCAAGTGACTTACAAACGCACCCCTGAAAGACAATGACGAATAGAGACAGGTTGAATATATAGATTCTGCAAATAATATGATCTGGGGTCATTTAAAATCATAGCCAAAATCCAAAAAACGTGCCCACCTAATTTAGAAGGCTTCAACTATTAAAATACGAGTGAATGAGAGGACTCCAGAAGTGTTGCAAGATACTGAAAATAATAATTGAGTCTTCCGTTGAAGACTACATAAATTAGCAAGAAACACAAAACCAAGGCAGGTATATTCATAACTCTGGGAAGTATGCTAACGGCCAAATCGTGGGCCAAGAAAAAGAAGCATTTGATTCTAAGATACACAGCAGAAGATAACAATAACATACTGCCGTTTCTTTTGTATTTAAATAATATGCATGTAAGTAATAAGCACACAATTAAAAATTGGCTAGATTTTAGTTTGCTATCTCTAAATATTGAGAAAACCAATTTTATGACTTTTTCCCTTTCCTCGCGTACTTTGCCTAATCTAAACTGCATTAAGATTCATGACTCATATTGTGACTTTGCACCTCAGTGTGCATGTAGCAAATATATAAATAAGAAATCGAGCTTGAAATATCTAGGAACAATTATAGATGAACTTCTTACTTGGAAAGATCATGTTGAGTATGTTACAACAAAGATTAGAAAACTTATTCACAAATTTTATGAATTAAGGGAAATATTAGACTTCAGAACTCTTAAAACAGTTTATTTTGCTTTAACAGAATCTGTAATTAATTATGGTTTCGTAGTTTGGGGAAATACAAGTTTAGCAACGTTATCCAAGTTACAGGTAGCTCAGAAATGGATCATAAAAATTATGCTTTTCAAACAGAAACGATATTCATCTGAACTTGTTTTTAGAGACAGTAAAATACTGAACCTAGAGCAGCTCTATTTAAAATCACTTATAAGATTTATGATGAAATATGATTTCTACAAAGAATACTTACAGCATGGCCAAAATACAAGAAGTGCTGCGCATGCAAAAGTAAAATTGCAAAACCCTAGACACACAGCTTGCCAGAGTCACGTTTACTGTATAGGTCCAAAAGTTTATAATGATGTGCCAAATAGTATTAAGAGATTGAGATATTCTACTGTTAAAAAGGAATTAACAAGATGGATTATTGATAGTCAATACGCCATTAATTATGTAATATAAAAACCTGTAGCATTAAAGGTATTAAGTTCCTAAAATTTAAGATAAAACATAATAGCTTTGAATTTGTTTGATCGATTTTTATATTTCTTTTTCTCTTTGTAAACTAGAATTAAGAGCCTCAATGAAAAAGTTACACTTAACAATGTGAATGGGGTGCACACACAGTATTTTGAATACAATTGTCGATCTAAAACTATTAGCAATAGTGGGTAATTTTAAGAATAGATAGCTGGATTTAAATATTATACAATAATTGTAAAGTCTATATATTTAATATGATGTAAAAAACTGTATACATGTTGAATCTGCTGCTAATAAATTTACTTACTTACTTACTTACTTAAAAAAATCTCTTTTTACATACCTGAAGAACTACTAACACTTTTACAATAAAATATTATCTACAAAAAAGAACAAAATAACTAAGGAACACTTAAAAACCGTCCATCTACAACAGTCAAAAAGCTAAATGATGATCGAGGTAGGCCGTTTTCGGTATCACTACCTGCTTACGTACCTTTTATGATGTTACGGGAGTTGAAAGTAATTTTCTGAGAAAGTTTATTTGGCGTTTCTAACTCTCTGAACTTTCTATTTTATACGGCTTTCGGACCACAGTGTGTTGTGAAACTTTATTACCGAAGTAGGCTCTACAGAGTGTAAGCGTTATGGTAGTCATTATTTAAATGGGTGATAGAAGAGGTTAAAAGAAGCAAAATGTTTCATATAACATGGGGGTCAAAACGGCATTTTTTTATAGGAAAGCGACTTAAAAGTAAAATAAAATCTGACAACGCCGCAATGCCAGACGCAAATTACGACGGAACGCAGTGTAAATAAAGATGGAGTTAGGTATTATTTCATTATTTGATAATGTACTCGTAAAATGCAAAGAATTAAAAAAACGGACTTACCACTAACTGTCTCAGCGCTTCACTTGGTGTGTGAGTGTTTATTGAACGTATTAAAAAAAACCACTTATAAACAGGGAACACAATTTTGATACCTAGTTTTTCTTTTTAAAACCCACGCTGCACTTTTTTTATTTAAAGAAGGTGTTCAAAATGTCGTCCTCCACTTTCCACACAAGCTCTATTACGACGAACCCAGCTTCTTCTTACTCTAGGTCCTTGAAGTTGTCCATTTATTATTTCAGCCGCATTAATTTTTTTTTCGCGAAGTTGTGCTCCAGTTGTTATTGGACCAGCCCCTTTAAGTTCTCCCCAATACCAGAAATCCATCGGATCGAGGTCAGGAGATCTTGTTGGCCATTTTCGAGGATCAGGAGCATTTCGACTGATCCAGCGATTTGGATAATGTTCCTTCAAATACTGAGTGACGCCTCTAAAAATGTGTGGTGGTGCCCCCTCATGAAGAAACCACAAATTCTGTCTCCAGTGTAACGGCATGTTGTCTTAGGTCTGTTCCAAAAGTTCTGGTAGGTTATAGGCTAGAAAGCTAAGGTATCCTTCTCCTAAAAACTTTGCGCGTAACTCGAAAGGGCCAATTACCTGATCGTCAAGAATACCCGCCCAAATATTTATTTTAAATCGTTGTTGGAAATTACATTCCCGAATGGTATGAGGATTTCCTTGAGCCCGCGTGTAAGTATTATGGAAATTTAATATCCCGCCTCGCGTAAAAGTACATTCGTCCGTCGCTAGAATGTTTTTGTACAAAAACTACTGACAAAATGTTAGTCTGCGAGGATCGTCTTCTGGTAGCAAGGCCTGCACTCGTTGTACATGGTAGGGATAAAGCAAATTTTCCCGTAGGATTCTATGGACTATGGTATGCGATAGTCCTACGTGGCAGCCTAATTCCCGAGTGCTGATATCTATATTCATTTCCACGATATTTAAAATTTGTTCCTCCTGCTCTACAGTAACCTGTCTTTCACGAGTGCGAATATTAGTGGGCTGAACACTTCCTGTATCTCGAAGCCTTTGGTATACTTGCACAAATGTGCTTCTGTCTGGGTTGGCGAAATCTGTCGCGATAAATTTGAGCTGCAATATTTGAATTCTGACGAGCTTCACCGTAAACTTATATCATGTCGGCGAACTTTTGATTCGAGATCATTGTAAAAAAACACGACGACGTACGCGAACAAAAACAAAACACGCCCGATGCCCTATAACTGTTACCGTTTGCGATCGATTGCCAGTTCGATAAGAGTGATGAAAGACCGACGCGCTGTTGTCATGTGTGTTTTAAATATTTAATTCAATGAAACTTACTTACTGACTACAAATTTTGGCTTAACTTAGAAAAACTAAATGCCATTTATTTGTTAATTACCCAATTTAAAAACGTTTTAGATTAGATTATAAAAATTAGTAAGATTGTGGTGATTGTGGTCGATATTAAAGCACTTAAAGTTGTAAACTATAAAGCCATTTTGACAAAAATCTATTGACTTTTGGACCATGGGTCATATGAAGTTTTTGACTTGTTTTGACCCCGCCATATTACCCATTTCAATAATGACTATCATAACGTTTACACCCTGTATACCATGAAAACAAGAAATTTTCATAGTGATTTTCGTGCTTCGGAAATAGCCATTTCTAAACCCGAAACGTGGTCAGTGTTGAGCAGTGAAGAGTACTGCTTTCGAAAACCAATTACTTCAGCTATTCCTGTTTGTATGTTTCCTTCCTATAAACGTCTACAAAATAGGAACTCCAAAGGACGTCAAACAACAGCAAATCCGTTTCCAATTTCTACGTCGTGTATGACACACGATATAACATGGCTCCGTTCCGAAACCCTGCTCTAAGGTTTCATTTAGCATTATCTAATGGCTGTTTGGGCCACGTCAGGTCGGGTTGTGTAAGTGCATCATTTTTCATACTTTTTGTCATCGAAGCTAGGCACAAATACCCCGACGCCGCTACAGGATATGGCAAACCGACATTTCGGAGCGAACAAGCATCGCATATATTTCGAGCTCTAAAGCTCTGTTGAAAAAGTTTTATGATCATATTATACAGATTAGATTATTTCTCGTGTTGCGGTAACTGTGTGAGATGTCATCTGGATCAGGTTTTATTAGGAGTTTTTGATGGGTGTATCCATAAAGATGCAATACTTTGATTCAGCGCCATCCTTGGTGTCACAGTGCCTGCCATCTTTAGATATTATTTACTATGAAAAGATAACAGCCTTTTGACGAAGGTAAAATGCCTATAGAAGGTAATCGCAAGCTCATCATACTAATCGGAAGGGGTTTGCAACAAACTTTCGGTAGAAGAATCGTAATATGCCGATAGGTCGGAGACCACTGATTTTTAGCCCTTAAGTAATGAGGGTCAATTTTTTGCAAATAACCTATTTGTTCTCAAGGTTGGATTTTCTGTTACCCTGTATTAGACGAATACTAGCCTTCCCAAACTTTCGCTCTTAGACCTAAAATGGGGGTATTTTAATTTTACTGTCTGAGAGCTACACTGCTGTATCTCACATTGCTTCCCATACGACATACCATATTATAATTATGTTTTTGAGGTATTGAATTACTATTTTTCACTTTTGATGGACTAGCCATGGAATTAGTAGCCCTGTAGTATAGCTTATATGTATATCAGCTCAAAAATAAAGACCTGATTTCAGAAGGCGGATACATAGAGTCCATGTTTTTATTCTTACTCCTCACGCCAATTGGCAAGAAGTATGTGTATGAGATATTATGTTTTTTGGTTGTTACATGATATGTACATCACGAAAAACCAAGTCACTGATTTCCGGCACTCTGCCTGTTTGTCAGTCTGCCTGCCAGTCTGTCTGTAGGCTAATACTGAGCCTCTCTATAATTCGAGACGCACTGCTTGTGTTTTGATGAAATTTTGACACTTTACTACCATGCCAAGAGTAAAAAGCTTTTTAGGTTTTGAAAATCGATTTAGTGTGGGCGTCAAAATGCTGCTGATGATGATTTACCTTTACAGCAAATGCTCAAACTGTTTTCCTTCACCCGCAATACACGCTCGACATCTTCTTAAAAAAGATCGGGGTATTAAACGAGCGAATCCACGGTTATTAACAAACTCAGCTGCTTCCAATAGTCTTTGCCGTAGCTCAGCTACATTTTGAATCGGCTTGAAATACACTTTTTCTTTTCCAGTTCCCTAGTAAAAAAAATCTAAAGGATTCAAATCAGGTGATCGGGCTGGCCACGGTATTGTACCAGACCGCCTTATCCATCTGCTTGGAAAGTTTTGATCGAGATACTCTCTCACTGAGAGTGCATAGTGCGCTGGACAGCCATAATGCTGAAACCACATGTCCCTGTAAATACTCAGTGGCGCGTCCACCAACAAATTTTGTACATGATTTGTCAAAAAATCCAAATAAACTTCAGCAGTCAAAGTCTCTGGGAACTCAAATGGACCGATTATTTTACCATTTAAAATTCCTGTCCAATGGTTTATCTTGAAGCGATATTGAGATTTATCTTCTCTCATCAAATGTGGGTTTGCTACGTGCCACTCGTGTAAGTTATGCAGGTCATGTACCCATCTTTCTTAAATGTGGTCTCATCCGACCATAAAATTTTTTCAAAGAACTGTGGATCTTTCCTGTGTCTTTCTAACATTGTGCGACAAAAAGCATCTCGGGGCTCATAATCCCGGGACAGGAGAGGTTGAACACGCTGTTTGTGGTATGGATGAAGCACATCACTTACTTGCTATTGCACACTTTGATACCGATCAGTACTCCTTCGTTTATTGCGCATCTTTACATGTTCGTGCTTGTTGATTTCGTACTGTTACTAATTTTGGATTCGTGAACTGGACTGTTGATCGCTTGTGATTTGGATTTGGACTGTTTAATTGCTCTTCAAAACAAAATTTGCTTTCCTTAGACTATCTTTGATAGTGTGATTGTGCAGTACCGCTATGTCCGTGTACACCGTACAAGAATATGCTAACATGCACGTCATTTATGGGGAATGCAGATGCAACGCTAGTGCTGCAGCGAGACTTTACTGTGAGAGG